CGACCCAGAGCTGTCAGGACTTCGAAGCCACGACATAGGCCAGAAGTCCTGCAGCCCTCCCCACCTGGCACCCACCCTGTGTCCTCTCTGGGGGCAGGAGCCCTGGACTTTGTATTAATATACATTACCATAGACTTTGTATATAATCATTTATATAATCATTACATATATTTGTATATAATCAAATGTGTATAATCAATTTCTCAGCCATTCTTGTTGCCCAAACTCACCATCTCAGTCCCAAAACTCCTTAAGCCTGATAAGCAACTTCAGCAAAGTCTCAGTATACAAAATCAACGTGCAAAAATCACAAGCATTTCTTTACATCAACAATAGACAAGCAGAGAGCCAAATCATTAATGACTTCCCATTCACAATCGCTAAAAAGAGAATAAAAATACTAAGGAATATAGGCAACAAGGGAGGTGAAGGATCTCTTCGAGGAGAACAACAAACCACTGCTCAAGGAATAAAAGAGTACACAAACAAATAGAAAAACATTCCATTCTGTGGATAGGAAGAATCAGTATCCTGAAAATGGCCATACTGCCCAAAGTAGTTTACAGATTCAGTGCTAATTCCATCAAACTACCATTGACATTCTTCACAGAATTGGAAAAAAAAACTATTTTAAATTTTATATGGAATCAAAGAAGACCCCGTATAACCAAGACAATCCTAAGCAAAAAGAACAAAGCTGGAGGAACCACACTACGTGACTTCAAACTATAGTACAAGAATACGGTAACCAAACAACATCGTACTGGCACCAAAAAAGGCATATAGACCACCAGAACAGAACAGAGACGTCAGAAATACCACCACACATCTACAAACCTGGCGAAAACAAGCAATGGGGAAAGGAGCTCCCATTCAGCAAAGGGTGCTGGGAAAACTAGCCTGCAAAATGCAGAAAACTGTAACTGGACCCCTTCCTTACATCTTACACAAAAATTAACTCAAGGTAGATTAAAGACTTGAATGTTAAACCCCAAACCATAAAATTACTAGGAAAAAAAAAAAAAAAAAAAAAACCTAGGCAATACCATTCAGGTCATAGGCATGGCAAAAACTTCATGACAAAAATGCCAAAAGCAATTGGAACAAAAGCCAAAATTGGCAAGTGAGATTTAATTAAACTAAAAAGCTTCTGCACAACAACAACAACAAAAAACTATCATCAGTGTGATCAGGCAATCTACAGAATGGAAGAAAAGTTTTGCAATCTACCCATCTGACAAAGAAGTCTAATATGCAGAATTTACAAGGAACTTAAATTTACAAGAGAAAAACAAACAACCCCATCAAAAAGTGGGCAAAGTATATCAACCGACACTTCTCAAAAGAAGACATTTATGTGTCCAACAAAGATATGAAAAAAAGCTCAACATCACTGATCATCAGAGAATTGCAAATTAAAACTACAATGAGATACCATCTCACAACAGTCAGAATGGCGAGTATTAAAATGTCGGGAAACAGTAGATGCTGGCCAGATTGTAGAGAAATAGGAACACTTTTACACCATTGGTGGGAATATAAATTAGTTCAAGCATTGTGGGAGACAGTGTGGTGATTCCTCAAGGCTCCAGAACCAGAAATACCATTTCACCCAGCAATCCCATTCCTAGGTATAGACCCAAAGGATTATAAACCATTCTACTATAAAGACACATGCACACATATGTTTATTGCAGCACAATTTACAATAGCAAAGACACGTGCCTGTCAGTGATAGACTGGATTAAGAAAATGTGGCAGATATATACCATGGAATACTATGTGGCCATCAAAAGAATGAAATCATGTCTTTTGTAGGGACGTGGATGAAGCTAGATGCCACCATCCTCAGCAAACTAACACAAGAACAGAAAAATCAAACACTGCATGGACTCACTCATAAGTGGGAGCTGAACACTGATAACACGTAAACACAGAGAAGGAAACAAAACATACCAGGGCCTGTTGGGGAGGGGCAGTGAGAGGAGGGAACTTTGAGGATGGGTTAATAGGTGCAGCAAACCACCATGGCACACATATACCTATGTAACAAACATACACATTCTGCACATGTATCCCATTCTGTTTGGGGGCATTTTTTAAGAAGCAATAAGGAAAAACACAAATAAATTTTTAAAAGACATGAGTGTTCAAAGAGAAGGGCTGATATACAGCATAACATCTAAAATAAAACATGCTGGTTTGCCATTTTTATTTTTTGGTTGGTCTTTTTCCTTCTTTAGTCATTTAAAATTTCTAATTTCTGGCATGTATCTTAATGTGACTTATTTTTTAAACATCGTCTTTGCTCTTTTCACAGTAACACTCCTTGAATATAAAAAGATATATATATTCTTCACATCTACTAAGAAGAATGAGTACGCCATTGATCTAAATTGCACAGACCACTAGTCTTTTTTTCACATTTCTAATAGACACATGAAGAAAAATCTCCCTCCTAAATTTACAATTAAATAACCCAAGCTGCCGTAAAAGTTAACTGACATCTCAAATCTGGGACATAGTAAAAGAAATAGGACTATGGCAAAGGAATGTGCACAGTTTAAAGAGAGCGGAGCTTCAGCAAATTATTTCCTTGTCAAATGGTTGGCCTGGTATTTTCCCATATTCCTCTATTCTAAGAGAAGTTGAAAATCTAGATTTTTATGTGAAGTAACATGAATTTTTTAGGGTAACATTATTAAGCTCTAGGATTGATACATTGTAAACCAAAACATTATACACACACACACACACACACACACACACACACACACATATTTGGTGTGTTCACATATAATAAAACACAGAAAAGCTATAGACATGCACTAGGTACAAGCACTCATACACATGCATCCTCACATCAACACACACAAACAACTGCAGGGTATTATTAGGGACATGGGTTTTTATTTTTTTAAAAAGTCACTATTTTTGTTTAATTTGAACATTACGCTTTTAGGCTTTGAAGCATAAATATTACACAAAAAATATTTTTCCCAAATATAGACAGACAGATAGATAAATAGACAGATAGATGATAGTGTTACCAGAAACAAAGATAATAGGAAAAAACCACATTTTTTGATAGTGTTAACACCATAGGAAGTTAACATGAGTTGACAGCCATTTAATAAAACTAATTTAGTACAGAATTTTTTTTTCACTTCTCTAGATTTGTTAATATTTGTGGGTACAACTCTTGATCTGGCATTCTAGTGTTATCCTTGTTTTTTTAATCTACTTTTTTGAAAATAATTTTGGAATTTACTTTATCTTTCTTGCTTATAACTAGACTTGTATCAGAGACTCACAGTGAAGCTTTCTGCCTCACTGAATCACTTTCACAGACTCTGTATTAAAACCGAGTTGGGCTCTTTCTTTTCTTTTTCCTTTCCCTTCCTCTTTCCACAGGAGGACAAAGAACTCCTTTCAAGGAAGCCTATAGGGTTCAGCATCTCATGAAAGAGGATCGATTGTGCTTTTTTTTTTCTCCACAAGTCCCATAAAGCATGAGGTTGTTCAGACCAATATCATTATTTTGGGTCTGCTAGGTACAAATCTGATACTGCAGTTGGTCAGAGTATGACTTTAAATATAATAACTATCTAGATTACTTGTGCTTAAAAGAAAAATGGTATCTCAGATTGAAAATTCTCAATAATACATGTCCATTTTTTTCTTCTCTTAATTTTAACTTGGGTAGCAAAAAATAAATAGTAGGTTTAATAAAATATCAATAAATGCTGTAGTTTGAAATAATCGTTTTCACAAAGTTTTTGGTTACAGTAAAAGTGTGTTACAAACACATATACAATTATATCACATTTGATTGTAGTTTACAATTCTCAGTTAAGGGTACGACCTGCGCTTACTAGGGGAATACAAATGGTGGTTTAGGGCTTATCTTGAAATAGCAGAATTTTGGAAGATACTTTGAAAGATTATCTCATTTAATTTTTATTAAATATTTAAATCATGAAATCAGATACTAATGCACTATTCTCTCATTCAAGATATGTAGATAGAAGATAGATACTTATATTTGCATATATAATATTAGTATAAATTGCGTTTATACATTTTATACATATGCGATGATAGATGTAAAATCATATTATCAATATGTAGATATTGGAGATATTAGGGAATTTATATAACCCTAATAAGCATGTTCAAGAATGAAGGGAAGAACAATTTTATGGGCAATTGCAATCTATAAAGAGTCAAATAAAAATTCTAGAATTGGAAAATATAATTAAGATATATTAGTGACTCAATAGACACCACCGAAAGGCAGAGAAAAAATAAAGTGAAAGGTCAGATAGGAAAAAATACCGAAACTGAAAGACAGAAAGATGAAGGGCTGGGAATTCAGAAAAAATGTAAAAGACATATTGAACTTACTGCAAAGATCTAATATTATTACGGTAAGTGAAAGCCCATAAGCAAGAGAAAAAATAGACTTTGTCAAGCCAAGTATACAGAAATCTCTATGAAATCTTGGAAAAATGATTTCTAATTTTCAATTCACACACAGACGTATCCTAGGAAGACTTCAGAAAACAAAGAACATTCTACCTGAATGAGCAAGATAAGACCGTTACCTTCAGAACAGCAATAACATGACAGATGAATGTCAACAGAAAATGAAGATGTCTGCCGTCGCCCCTGCCCCGGCGTCCCCGCGTCCCCGGCGTCCCGGCGTCCCCAGCGTGCACTGACGGCCTGTCGCCCCAAGATGGCGGACACAACGTGCCGACGCCGCGCCGGCTGCCCGTGAGGTGGCTGTGAGGACTAACGGTCGGCCGGCTAGCCGCCGCAGTTCAGTCAGAAGACTGACGTCCGAGCGGTAGGAAGAGGTGGAGGCGGCCCGACCATTGGCTGCCTCTGCGGCCCCGCCCCGCCCCCGGCTCGGCCCCGCCCCGCCCCCGGCTCGGCCCCGCCCGCCCCCGCCCGCCCCCGCCGCCCCCGCCGCCCCCGCCGCCCCCGCCGCCGCCATGAAGCTGACCGACAGCGTGCTGCGCAGCTTTCGCGTCGCCAAGGTGTTCTGCGAAAACTCGGACAAGATTAACTGCCTCGATTTCAGCCCCAACGGCCATTCGATCGTCTCGAGCAGCGACGACGACTCCATCGTGCTCTACGACTGCCAGGAGGGCAAACCCCAGAGAACCCTGTACAGTAAGAAGTACGGCGTGGACCTCATCAGATACGCCCGCGAGGCCCACACGGTGGTCTACAGCTCCAACAAGAGGGACGACACCATTCGGTACCTGTCCCTGCACGACAACAAGTACATCCGATACTTCCCCGGACACAACAAAAAGGTGGTGGCCTTGACGGTGTCACCCGTGGACGACATCTTCATTTCGGGGTCTCTCGATAAGACCATCCGCCTGTGGGATCTCCGCGCCCCCAACTGCCAGGGCCTCGTGCACCTCCAGGGGAAGCCGGTGTGCTCTTTTGATCCGGACGGCCTGGTTTTGGCTGCGGGGGTCAACTCGGACATGGTCAAGCTCTACGACCTCCGCTCTTTTGACAAGGGGCCGTTCACCACCTTTAAGATGCAGTATGACAAAACCTGCGACTGGACGGGGATTAAATTCAGCAACGATGGCAAGCTCATCCTCATTTCCACCAACGGCAGCTTCATGTGTCTCCTCGACGCTTTCAAAGGGATGGTGCTGCACACGTTTGGGGGCTACGCCAACAGCAAAGCGGTCACGCTGGAGGCTTCGTTCACTCCCGACTCTCAGTTTGTTATGACTGGGTCGGAGGATGGCAAGATCCACGCGTGGGACGGAGTGAGTGGCGTGAAAGTCGCTGTGCTGGATGGTAAACACATAGGCCCGATCACCTGTCTGCAGTTCAACCCCAAGTTCATGACTTTTGCCAGCGCCTGTTCCAACATGGTCTTCTGGTTGCCCACCATTGATGACTCGCCCTGATGCTTCTCCGCTATTTCTGTACAGTGGGGGGGGGGGGGGGGAGGGTCGGAGGGGCAGTAGGAAGAAACTCAGAGGGGACTGAAATAATAGTAGGGTTGCATCATTTGACTGGGGCGGAGAGCATCCTTTGACACGGCCTTTCCATCGGTGTTCTGTGTATCTTCTCAAAGGAAAAGAATCACTTCGCTGAGCCTCCTCAAAAGGACTGTCGGTGCAACAGACTCGGAACTCTACCTGTCAGTGCACCAAGCTCGGCTAGAGGAGTGACCAGACTCACTATTTGGATAGAGTGGGGCTCTCAGGACATCTGCAGTTTGAGTGTAACATGCTGCTGAGGAGCCGGTAGTCATCAGTTCTGTTCATCCCTTCTCCTACCCCGCCGCCCCCCCCCAGATGCATGGGAAGTGACCATCCTGGTTTTGAGACGCTAAGGCAGCTCAGTGCCCCTTGCCCTCACCCTGCATGTCTTGTTACTGGATCTTCCTGTGTACTGTGGCATTATCCTCAACCGTCATGTTTCTTGGGTGCCAAACATTTACAGAAATATTTTCATACGTCTTAGGATCAGAGAAAGGGACACATACAGAAGGACCCTGCTTGCAGGAAGCCGTGCAATTAGTGGCTGCAATTAGTCATGTGAGGCTAGGTGGTCAAACCCAAGGGCCTAAAAGGGAGGGTAGGGGGATGGTAGCAGGTGAGTTCCTAGGGCTGGAAAGTTTAGCAGCAGCCTGGTGCAGTACCCTGTCAGCAGGATAAACCCACGGTCCTTTGGGGTGTCTACCACGTTTGGTTTGTACAAAAGCAAGGTTGGAGTCTATTTTGGTACATGAGATACATCACCCTTTCCTGTGGTCCAGTATTGTGAAGTGAGTCTGAGTTGTTTACACTGATGCCTTCACTGCTCACCACAAATTGTGTGCATAGTCTTCCGACGATACAACCCCTTTCCCTAGCTCCCAGCCAAGAGCTGGTTCTAGGCCCGTGTTTTATGTTACATTTAGCCTTTTTATATAGGACCTTGGATTTCTGTTGTTTGTATTTTAGCACAGTGTATGCACCTTCATTTAAATACATCTGTGTGCATACAGATATGCATGTGTGTGTGTGTATGCATATATCTCTCTCCACTGTAGTTTCTGAAAGTTCAGCTGAAGCAGATGGAGTCCTGTAGCTCAGGAGACACACTGCATCCTTACTAATAGTGTTCGCCACAAGTTTTACTGAGACTTCCCTATTAATGTTTTCATTTTACAAGACTGAACGAAGAAAACCTTATACTGGTCGTTGTTACCATGACGGCTACGTGAGGGTCTTCGGATGACTCCCCGTGTTGCTGAAGCCACACTTTGGGGCCCGCCTTGCAGTGTTAGTCCGTTTTTTGCTTGGTGGTGCTCTGTGCCTGTGTGTGTGTGATAGTCACTCTTGCCTGGCTTCTGTGTCTGAGTTGTGGCATTTAGGCATATGGTGTGGGAGCCAGAGCCTTTTCAGTTTGTTTGAGGTTTCGTTGCCGATAATAGATCACTCCAGTTTACCTGGTATGTCTGCTTTCTTGCTGCTTTTCCTTGTTTTCTCTCGGAAGACGAAGGGGCTCTAGTTAGGCCCAGGCTGAGTGAGATGAGATGCAGCTGGCTGATGGCCTTCTTAAAGCAGAGAGAGTGGTATGTCATTTAACTAAGTTCCTAAACAAACATTTATGCAGGCAGCACTCGCTGCAGATCCAGAAACTGAGACACATTAAGGTTATGATTTGCTCAAGAATACATAGCAAGGCATCACAGCTCCTGTTCAGTGGCAGGAATAGGCTGTGAATTTCTAGCACTAGATTTTTAAGTAATTATTTTTTGCCTTTTTCCTCAAACTGAAAGTCCAAGAAACGAACACCTTTCCCAAATGTACGGTAGATACTACAGGATGCCACCCACCGTATAGCTCTCCTTTCCCAGAGAGGAAGGACTTTTAGAAACCAAATGATATTGTTATTGCCCACCCAGGGTAGAAAATTCATGATAGAAATAATTGTTGAGAGAGTGCGTGGAACCGTGGGTTAACAGGAAAGGTTACATAACTTCACATATCTCCAAACAGAGCAATCACCAAGCATGACTTACCCAGCAGCAGGAAAACGATTTTTATTTGAGTTCCTGTGTGTTCAAAACTGAGGCACCATTTTCTTTGAAAACATGACACCTCATGGCTTCTATTTTTGGCCCTGTGCTTTCAAAGCTGCCTCCTGAGTTAAGAAGGAAAAGGAAAAGATATAGCTGGAAGTGAGTAAAGGTGATGAGGTGAGGGTATAAGGCAGAAGAGATGCTGAGGGCTGGGGCCGCACAGATGCTCTCAGCAGAGCCAGAGGTGCTTACGTTTTCTTAGGCGGAGGTAAGGAGTGGGGCAGCGGCGTTTGCTACCCTTTTAGGAGTCAGGGCCAAAGCCACTGATGTTTATTTGACAGCTACACTGCACTGCTCGCCAGACGAATATTTTAAAAAATGTATTTCCCACTACAATTAGAATTACTGCTTAATAAGGAAAATTGGGGAATTTTAGAAAGAATAAGTTTGCCACCCAAATGCTACCACTGTTGATCTTTCAGTGTTAAATGTTCCCCTAGATATTCCTGTGTGTAGATTTTTGGTGTGTTTACATAGTCATTATTCTACTGTATATGCTATTTTATGTCCCTTTTGTATTTAACATAAAACATTTTTTCTATGTTACAGTCTTCGTTATAGTTTTTGTTACAGAAAATATATATATATATATATATATATATATCACCAAATAAGGTAAAATAAGGAACGGCATGTTCAAATTAACAAAAACTAAATTTGTCACTAGCAGACTTGCACCTACATTTCCCCCTAAAAAAGATGGAGCAAGATGAGATTAAAAAGAAGTTATATCAGAGGGAAACATTTTTAAAAATAATTTCAACTTTTATTTTAGATTGAGGGGTACATACGCAAGTTTGTTACAGGGTATATTTTGTGATGCTGAGGTTTAGAATAGGAATGACCCCATCAACCAGGTAATTGAACAGAATACCCAAGAGTCTTTTAATTGCGGCCCCTTCCCTCCCCAATCTAGTAATCCCAAGCATCTATTATTGCTGTCTTTATATCCATGAGTACCCAGTGTTTAGCCTCCACTTATAAGTGAGAATATGCAGCATTTGCTTTTCTGTTCCTGTGTAAGTAAATTTGCTTAGGAGAATGGCCTCCAGCTGTCTCCAAGTTGCTGCAAAAGACATAAGATCATTCTTTTCATGGTTTTGTAGTATTCTATGCTCTATTGTCCCACATTCTTTATCTAATCCACCACTGATGGGCACCTAGGTTGATTCTAGTCTTTGCTATTATGAACGGTGTTTTGATGAACACTTAAGTGTGTGTGTCTTATATGGTAGAACAGTTTATTTTCTTTTGGATATATACCCAATTTAGTCAGGGTTCTTCAGAGAGACAGAACTAATAGGACATATGTATATATGAAAGGGAGTTTATTAAGCAGAATTGACTCAGGTGATCACGATTATGTGGACAGACCTTTGTTGGATGCACAGTTTGTGGATATTTTCACCCATTCTTCAGGTTGTCTGATTACTCTCGTCATAGTTTCTTTTGCTGTGAAGAAGCTGTTTAGTTTAATTAGTTTCCCCTTGCCTATTTTTTTTTATTGTTATACTTTAAGTTCTGGGGTACATGTGCAGATCATGTAGGTTTGCTACATGGGTATACATGTGTCATGGTGGTGGTTTGCTGCATCCATCACCCCGTCACCTACATTAGGTATTTCTCCTCATGCTGTACCTCCCCAGTCTCCCCACTGCCTGCTGTTCCTCCCCTAGCTACCCATCCCCCAGGCCACAGTGTGTGATGTTCCCCTCCCTGTGTCCATGTGGACTTAGTCATAAATTCTTTCGAAAGCCTGTGTTCAGAATGGTGTCTCTTAGTTTTATTCCTTTAGTTTAAAGGAATTTACATTTAAATCTTTAAATCATCATGAGTTAATTTATTACCTGGTGAAAGGTAAGGGTCCAGCTTCAATCTTCTGCATATGGCTAGCCAGTTATTCCAGCACCATTTATTGAATGAGTCCCTTTCCCATTGCTTGTTTTTATAAAGTGTCAAAATTCACTGGCTGTAGGTGTGTGACCTTATTTCTGGTTTCTCTATTCTGCTCCATTGGACTTTGTATCTGTTTTTTGTTTGTTTGTTTTTTGTTTTGTTTTGTTTTGTTTTGACAAAGTGTCTCACTCTGTCACCAGGCACCAGGCTGGAGTGCAGTGGTGCAACCTGGGCTCACTGCACCTCCGACTCCTGGGTTCAAGCAATTCTCCTGCCTCAGGCTCCCGAGTAGCTGGGACTACAGGTGCGCGCCACCACGCCTAGCTAATTTTTTTGTATTTTTAGTAGAGACGGGTTTCACCATGTTGGTCAGGATGATCTCGATCTCTTGACCTCGTGATTCACCCATCTCAGCCTCCCAAAGTGCTGGGATTACAGGAGTGAACCATAATCTGTTTTTGTATCAGTGTTATGCTGTTTTGGTTCTGTAGCCTGACATTACATATAGTTTGAAGTTGGGTAATGTGATGTCTCTGGCTTTGCTCTTTCAATTAGAATTGCTTTGGCTATTTGGGCTCTTTCTTGGTTCCATATGAATTTTAGAATAGTTTTTTTTTTCTAATTCTGTGAAAAATGACATTAGTAGTTTGATAGGAATAACACTGTATCTGTACATGCTTTGGGAAGTGTGATCATTTTGATATTAATTCCTCCACTCCATGAGTATGGAATGCTTTTCCAGGTGCTTGTGTCATGTATGATTTCTTGCATCAGTGTTTGGTAGTTCTCTTTCTAGAGATCTTTTACCTCTTTGGTTAAATGTATTCTTTGGTATTTTGTTTCATGGTTGTGTGGGCATTGTAAATGGGATTGCCTTCCTGATTTGGCTTTTGCCTTGAGCATTTTTGGTATCTGGAAATACTACAAATTTTTGTG